ACCTATCTTCTAAATCTGCTAACTTGGCTTTGAGCCAGATCACCTCATCATCCTGTTCATTATGAGCATCAACCAATGAGTTGTGGGATGATGCGAATTCTCCAATTTTTTAGTTCAATATGGTCTATCCTGTTTCCCAGTTCGCCCACTTCAGTTTTAAAGTTCTGAATACAAGTCATATCAGAATGGAGGCAGCTTCAGAGTGAAATTAGCATATCCTTTAGTGTTGTGCCAGAAATGGGTTGATTTGTAGTAGGGAATGAATCAATATTCTCCACTAATTCTCTAGTATCATCTAAAGAATAATTTTATTTGCTCACCTCTGTGCTGCGGCGAGTCCATCCGTGGTTTGGACTTAGCAGGGCTGCGGGATAATGGTGTTGGAGAGACCCGGAAAGCAATGCTGTGATCCCTCCGACAGAGCAGAGCTGTGTGCTGGAGAGCGGGCCGTCAGTGCCATCTTGCTCTCCTCTCCATGGGGGGAAAGAAATGAGGCAGTTTTTTGGCTGGGATGCCGCTTTCCATTTGCGAGTCATTGCTGGAGGGTGTGAGAGTAGTCCGGCGTCGGGCAGTGCCCGTTGTGTGCGCCTCGGTCGCCTCAATGATCAGGGATTCCCAGCGCTGGAGCGGAGCTCCTGAGTTAAGCAGCCATGCAGCAAAGCTGTAGCCACGCCCACACAGTTCTGTTTATTCCACATGAACTGACCCTTTGGGATAGCCTTAAGCCATCCCTGGTAGTTGCAACTGTGCGTAGGGATATAACCATTTCTATCAACCGCTTTGAAATGGGTACGTAAAAATATTTTAACCTTAGTGATGTAGAGTTCACTGAGGTGGAACTGAAAGTCCTTGAGTTAGGACTAAAATTTGCCCCAGACAAACAGTTGGATAAGACCGATATCTATGTGGATTTACAAAAATGTATTAGAAAACTCAATGTTAAAAAATATTGGGATAAGAAAGGATCTCGTGTGAGACAGGATGAGGGTAGACATTTACATACCAACTTGAGAAATAAGTCCATCTTTAACCCCAATATTAGTAACAATTGTTGTGTGGACAACTTTAAGAAGCTAGTTGAGGATGATTTGGAAGCTCTCATCGTTCCCGCCATGAGGAAAAAGAGAGATATTAATTAGGGTATAGAACTTTTGGAAAAAAAATAAGGAGATTGTGATAAGACCAGCAGATTAAGGAGGAGGGATGGTTATCTTGAATAATAAGGATTACTATGAAGAACTGGAGAGGTTCTTAAATGATCAAGAAACTTATGAGGTCTTAAAACGGAATCCAACAAGTAAATGTAAAAATAAGCTAAAGAAACTAATCACCATAGGTGAAAATGAAGGGTTCTTGAATAAAAAAGAAAGTAGATATCTTGTCCCTGATGCTCCCATCACTCCTGTGATATATATACTACCAAAGATACACAAAGATTTGAAGAAACCCCCCGGGGAGACCCATAGTAGGGTGGACTCCCTATTCGCGAGAGTAGGGGAGTATTTGGACCGATTTGTACAGCTGCTTGTCCAGAGATTTCCAGCCTACTTGAGGGATAGTGGAGATCTCATCAATGTTTTTAGGGAGGTACGGATTGACAAGCCATGTGTTATGGCCAGTGTTGATGTGAACTCCCTATACACTAACATTGGACATGATTATGCTCTGGCAGCGGTAAAATGGTCCCTACAGAGTGATACTCAGATGGATAGTAAACAGAAAGATGTTTTACTGCAATGTTTAGATTTGGCTATGAGCCATAATTTTTTTGGCATAACAAAAAATTCTTTAGGCAAAAAAACAGAGTTGCTATGGGAGCTAAGTATGCACCCTCAGTAGCTAATCTTTTCATGAGTAAATGGGAACATTAATTTATTCCAATAGAAGGCTAGAATTAGAGATCTTGATGGAGAAGTCAAGGGAGGGGGCACGGGCTGGAGGGAATACTAAGAGCTCAGTTTTGGAAAGATTGAGTTTGAGGAAGTGGAGTGACATCCATGCCGATATGTCACTTAGTAGGTTAGTAATGCGAGTGGAGACTAAAGGGGTGAGGTGAGGGTAGAAAGATAGATTTGTGTGTCATCAGCATAGAGATGGTACTTAAAGCCATGGGAGTTTTATCAAGTGACCAAGGGAGGAGGTGTAGATGGAGAAGAGAATGGCTCCAAGGACAGAACCTTGAGGGACCCCTACAGAAAGAGGGAGTGAAGAGGAGGAGGCAGCGTTATAGGTAACGCTGAAGGAGCGCTGCGTTAGGTAGGAGGAGAACCAGGAGAGAGCAGAGTCTCTGAGGCCAAGAGAGTGGAGTTTTTTTGAGGAGGAGAGGATGGTAAACCGTATCAAAAGCCGCAGAGAGGTCAAGTAGTAAGAGTACGGAGTAGTGGCCATTGGTTTTAGCAGTTAGTAGATCTCATTAGTGAGTTTTAGTAGGGCAGTTTCAGTGGAGTGGAGTGAGCGAAAGCCAGAGACTGTAAAGTGTCAAGAAGGTTGTTGTCAGTGAGGTGGGAGCTCAGGCAATTGTACACTAAGCGTTCTAAGAGTTTAGAGGTAAATGGCAGCAGGGAGATGGGTCTTAAGTTGTTCAGGTTGGTGGGGTCCAGGGAGGGCTTTTTAAGTATGGGAGTGATGTGCACATGCTTTAGAGGGGAAGGCACCAGTAGAGAGGGAAATATTGAAGATGCTAAATGTTGACATAGATCTAAACTGCTTTTTATCCAAATGATATTAATTTTTGTAGGCGTTAGTCGAATATATATTTTTCTGATCATTATTGGTTTTATTTTAGTTGTTTGTTTTATTTGTATACATATGTTTTTCACTTTCACATTTTTTTTGTATTTTCTTTTTCTTTTTTCTTTAAATATTTAATTTTTATATATATTTTTCTGTTTATTGATTATTGGTTAATTTTTTATTTATATTTTTCGCCTTTTTTTTCTTTTTTAATAATTTTTTGTTTTTCTTTGCATTTATTTTTCTTTCTATATATTTTCTTTAATGTTTTTTCTCATTTTGTACTTAATTTCTATTGGTATTGATATGTTATATTGGTGGAATATTTATTATTCTGATTTTTTATGGTTATATAATATTTGATGCATCGGTCCTAATGATATTGCAATGTTTATGGAGGCTATTTCCATCGGAGGTGAATTTGCAGCAGGGAAGATCACTTCCTTTAAGTGAATGATTGGGAGGGCTCTGGAGAATGGGACCATCAAAAGTATCTCTGCCCATTAAGTCTCAACGAATAAGGAGTTATGGGGAAGTATATATACAATAAGAAACGAGATCTCTGTCCGTGATGATGCCTTGTGGGAGGGGTGAAACGCGTTGACGTTATTTCAGGTTCTGACCTTGACGTGTGACGTCACTTCCGGTGAGTGGAACACACACTAATGCGGCATTCTGCAGCCATTTTAAAGTGGGGAGAATAAGTCTATTTCTCCACTGCTGCCAATTCTCCTCTGCTTATGCTGCTTGATTGTTTTACATTACTGGAGAGTGCCAGATGGCTTTAGAGCCTGCCTAAGGAGTTATTTTTTTCAACAAAAGGCCTGTTTTATACTTCTGAAATGTGAGTGCAATAGGGGCATCACATTTAATAAAGTTTCATACAGTATTACGCTATTTGGTTGTATCAGGATCCCCAGAGCTACCCTCCCATGCATCAGGGTCCCCAGAGTCACCCTCTCCCTACATTAGGGTCCCCAGAGTCATATTCCTTATATCATGGTCCCCAGAGCCACCCTCACAACAAAGTTTCCAGAGTTAACTTACATCAGGGTCCCCTGATCCACCCCTTTACACCCGGGTCAGTGTTGCCAACCGTCAGTAAATTCATGGACAGCTTGTAAAAATCCATGATTTTTACAGCTGTCTGTGAAAGTCTGTTATGAATATGGAGTGTGTGTAAAAACATTGCACACAGTGTAGCCCGCCAGAGTGGTACCAGGAGAGAGGATGCATGGGTCCTATCTAACATGGCATTAATAAACATCTCAAATTCTTTTGCTTTATCTGCTGTGGCGGCTCTGCCGCAGTCCCAGCTCCTGCTCGTCACTGGCAGCATTAGTAGATAGATACTGGGCAGTCCCTAGCAACCAACAACCACTTATATGGTTGGTCCCACTCCTCCCCTAGCATTCAGTGGAGGAGAATGGAACATATTCCTCCTATCCTGGCAACTGCCACACCTCCTGGCTCCCGCCTATTGCTGCCACCATTCGTGGTTAGTTGCTAGGACCACCCAGCGTCTAGCAACCAACCCCCATGGTTTGTCTGACTCCGCACCCAACATTCATTAGAGGAGAATGGAAATTCCTCCTCCAGACCTGGATGCTGCCAGTGACCCGCCTCTCTCCCTGCTTCACATATAGTTGTGGACCCAGAGTCACGACTGCAGTAAGAGAACAGAACAGAGTGAACTCAAGGAATATAAGGCACCTCTGGAGGCTCTGATATAATGTTAGAGGAGCAGATCTGGGGTCTCTTATATAAGGACCCCCCAATGTAAATTGGGGGAGGTGGATCTTAGGACCCTGATGTAAGTGAGGGAAACTCTAGGTACTCTGATGTAAGGAGGGGAGAGGGCTCTGTCTGGGGACCATAATGTAAGAAGGGGGGAGCCTGATCAGTGTTGCCAAGTGAAATTTACTGGCAGGACATCCAGAATTTACTGACAGTACCCATTTTTTTTACTGACACAACACATGAAATTTAATGACAGAGACCATTTTTTTACAGGCACTTCAAAAAACATGACTGTTTTCAGTGCAAAACAGTGCGAATATCAACATTTAAGCTGCAAACATGTAGCTAGTGCTATTAGAAATGTGTTTAAGGTATAACAAAAGGCAAAAAACATATTTCTCCTTTTCCATGAAGGTCAGGTTAATGCACTATATTGCTAAACGTATTGAGACACCCCTCCAAATCATTAGATTCAAGTGTTCCAATCACCTCCATGGTCATAGGTGTATAAAATCAAGCACCTAGGCATGCAGACTGCTTCTACAAACATTTGTGAAAGTATGGGTCACTCACAGGAGCTCATTGAATACAAGCATGATACCGTGCTAGGTTGCCACCTGTGCAATATGTCCATCCATGAAATTTCCTTGCTACTAAATATTCCACAGTCAACTGTTAGTGGTATTATAACAACGTGGAAGCAATTGGGAACAACAGCAACTCAGCCACATAGGCGTAGACCACGTAAAATGACAGAGTGGGGTCAGCACATGCTGAAGCGCACAGTGCGCAGAAGTTGCCAACTGTCTGCAGAGTCAGTAGCTAAAGACCTCCAAACTTTGTGTGGCCTTCAGATTAGCACAACAACAGTGTGTAGAGAGCTTCATGGAATGGTTTTCCCTGGCCGAGCAGCTGCATCCAAGCCATACATCACCAAGTGCAATGCAAAGCGTCGGATGTAGTGGTGTAAAGCATGCTGCCACTGGACTCTAGAGCACTGGAGATGTGTTCTCTGGAGTGACAAATTATACTTCTCTGTCTGGCAATCCGATGGACGTGTCTGGGTTTGGCGGTTGCCAGGAGAATGGTACTTGCCTGGCTGCATTGTACCAAGTGCAAAGTTTGGTGGAGGGGGAATTATGGTGTGGGGTTGTTTTTCAGGGGTTGGGCTTGGCCCTTAGTTCAAGTGGAGGGAACTTGTAAGGTGTCAGCATACCAAGACATTTTGGATAATTTCATGCTCCCAACTTTGTGGGAACAGTTTGGGGATGACCCCTTCCTGTTCCAACATGACTGTGCACAAAGCAAGGTCCATAAGGCATGGATGAGCGACTTTGGGGTGGATGAACTTTACTGGCCTAACCTCAACCCGACAGAACACCTTTGGGATGAATTAGAGCGGAGACTGCGAACCAGGTCTTCTCGTCCGACATCCGTGTCTGACCTCACAAATGCGCTTCTGGAAGAATGATCAAACATTTCCATAGACACACTCCTAAACCTTATGGACAGCCTTCCTAGAAGAGTTGAAGCTGTTATAGCTGCAAAGGGAGGGCCAACTCAATATTGAACTCTACGGACTAAGACTGGGACTCCATTAAAGTTCATGTGCGTGTAAAGGCAGGCGTCCCAATACTTTTGGCAATATAGTGCATAACCCAACACAGAGTTCCCCCATCCATCAGAGATTGCAGGGTTTCCCTTTTCAGTGCAAGGATGAACTCTGCAGACCCTAATATAAAAAGGCAACACTGTGGACAACTGTTGCGTACAGTTGTGTTCAAAATAATAGCAGTGTGTTGAAACAAGTGAATAAAGCTCAACATCCTTCTGATAGCTTTTATTTCCATACACACAAATGCTTTGGGAACACTACACATTCTATTCCAAATCAAAACATGAAGAGAAATATATCAAATTTGTATTGTTCCTCTAAAAAAATTGAAGAAAAGTGAATATTAGACAGCTCAAAAAAATAGCAGTGTTTGTATTCTTTTTTACAAACTCAAACATTCACTATATAAACTGAAAAATTTTGAAGATTTTGCTTTCCTTTGAATTACTTAATATTTAGTTGTATAAGCACTGTTTCTGAGAACTGCTGTACATCTGTGTTGCATGGAGTCAACCAACTTCTTGCACCTGTGAACAGGTATTCCAGCCCAGGATGATTGGACTACATTCCACAGTTCTTCTCTATTCATGATCCCTGGTATGCGATAAATAGGCCCAACACCATAGTATGAGAAACATCCCCATATCATGATGCTTGCGCCACCATGCTTCACTGTCTTCACAGTGTACTGTGGCTTGAATTCAGTGTTTGGGGTTGTCTGACAAACTGTCTCTGGCCACTAGACCCAAAAAGAACAATCTTACTTTCATCAGTCCACAAAGTGTTGTGCCATTTCTCTTTAGGCCAGTCAATGTGCTCTTTGGCAAATTGTAACCTCTTCAGCACGTCTTTTTTTCAACAGTGGGACTTTGCGGGGGCTTCTTGCAGATATCTTGGCTTCACATAGTCTTCTAATTGTAACAGTACTCACAGGTAACTTTACACCTTCTGTCATTTTCCTGGAGCTGATTGTTGGCTGAGTCCTTGCCATTTTGGCTATTCTTCTATCCATTCGAATGGTAGTTTTCGCGTTCTTCCACGTCTTTAAGGTTATGGTTGCCATTTTAAAGCATTTGCGATCATTTTAGCTGAGCAGCCTATAATTTTCTGCACTTCTTTATATGTTTTCCCCTCTCCAATCAACTTTTTAATCAAGGTACGCTGTTCTTCTGAACAATGTCTGGAACAACCCATTTTCTTAGAATTTCAGAGAGAAATGCACTGTAACCGGCATGTACAACATTTGCTTCCTTCCTTCCTTAACCTTCTTAGCAGTATTCCCAAGTGTAGCTCGGGGTAAAGATTCTATACCAAAAGCGGTAACCCCGAGCTACACTCGGGCTTACCATGCGGCGCTGCTCTGGGGGTCCCTGCAGAGCTTACCTTGTCCTTCGCTCCCGCGATGTGTCACCTCCAGCGTCCCCGGCCATCTCCTCCGGCCGATGCCGGCATCCAGCTCCTGTGTTCCGGTCCCTGTGACGTCGGGACAGACGGGCGCCGGAAGAAATTTGAATTTTTTTAAAATATTTCATTTTTGCTGTCATTGCTATTTCAATGCATTTCACATACATTTTGTCCCTACTGCTTTGTCCTGTGTCCTGACTGCATTTTTACTGCCTGGAAACTTAGAAAAGTCCATGGCGTCCAAAAAGCGTCCCTTTACGTCAAAAGCGGTTTTAGAACAGCGATAGTAAATCAGAACCACTTGCAGAATTGAGTGATAATGATTCGTGGGGAAATTCGTCATCAGACACTGAAAACGATTTTTGCGACTTTGCTCAGCGATGTGCGAATTTGCCTCTGTATTTCAAATTTCAGTGTTTTTGGTTTGATTATATTATTGAATTAAATTTATTATTATAATATTTTTTATGATTATTTATTAAATTATAATTTATGATTTCGTGTTTCAAATTTTATCATATCCGGAATGTTTAATAGACTCTTGTTCATACAGATTTCAGTGAGGTATTCCTAAAAATTACAGCCTACAATAAAAAACTACATATTTCCATGCAAAAAAATGGTACCCGCTTTCAGCACAAAAAATCAGAAAGAATCATACCGCCAAGGAGGTTAAATAAGAGCAATAATTGCCACCCGTTTTTCAAAGAATGAATGACCTCACTAATAGAACTCCACACTGCTATTATTTTGAACATGCCCTTTCAATTAGTGATTCAATTTCACAGAATCAGCAGCATGCATGTCATGACTGTTGGGTCTGTTGGATTTCTATTACTCTACTACACCTGCTAGTAAATTATTTGCCATGTAGAAATATCATTTCTACCAAAAACAGTGATTGATCAGGTTAGTGATGTCTGACTGCTATTATGTTGAACACAACTGTATATAAAGGAGAAATATGTGGAGTCTGATGCAAGGGGAAGTGCTGCGGACTCTGGTGTAAAGGAAAACTGATGTAAGGGGATCTCTGGTCACCAGAATACATATACACACACACACCCTCCTCCCTTTACAACACAGTCCACAGCGTTCTCCTTTATAACAAAGTCCACAGATTTCCTGCTTACATCAGACTCCAGAGTTCCCCTTCACATAACAGTCAGCAAAATGTTCCCTTGCATCAAAGTCCACAAAGTTCCCCTTTACATAAGAGTCCACAGGGTTCCCCCTTACAGTGTAAGGGGGAACTCTGTTGACCCTAATATAAAGGGGAACACTATGGACCCTGATGTAAAGGGGAATTCTTCAAACAATTCATGATGTAAAAGGGAATTCTTATGTGTGTGTGTGTGTGTGTGTGTGTGTGTGTGTGTGGGGGGGGGGGGGTAAGCAGTCTTAGTGTAAAAAAAAAAAAATCACTTGTGTCACTATGGTGACATTGTAATGTGCTGACAGTGAAACTGCATTGTTTTGGTGATAGTATGTGGTGTCACCACTGAGGCGGTGATCATGTACAATAACTGGGTGCACTGATATCACTGTATGTTGGTTCAGCCAGCCTGTGTCTCTGATCACCGCCACAGCAGTACAATGTCACCAGACTAGTGCGGCCAAATCACCGCCACACAGGACCAGTGTCCCCGAAAGGCCTCAGTCATATGCGTGGTGCTTTCTGAAGAGTGATCCATGTTTGGATCGCTTTTTAGAGAGCATTTAACAGGTGGTGTGGAGGTGTTGTCGCATCTCTTTCCCCACCTGCTTTAATCCTGTGAAACTCGCACAAGTGCCCCCATTCACTTGAATCGTGTTAATGGGGCTATGCCCACTAAAATCGACGGGCTATAATTCCTGCCACAGCTGAAAAGCATGTGTACACCCCCGACTGCTGCATCTGCAGCTAAGGGGATTGCAGTTGAAGAGTGGCGAACCTGCGGCTCAAGGGCAAGGTTTTACTGCCCAATACTCTCATGTGTGAATAAGCCCTATTAGTTCCGCCAGTCACAGTGTTGCCAGACCAGTGTAGATATAATTTTGTAAAGCGTTGCACAAACTGTTGGTGCTATGTAAATCCTGTATAATACCACACCAGATCAGTGCAGGCAGCAACATTTTTCCTGATCGCTACCACACCAGTATAAGCCAACAACAATGTTCCTGATTGCTGCAACATAGGTGAAAGTGTTGCCAGACCAGTGTATGCCAGCAACAGTGTTCCTGATCACCGCCACACCAGTCTCAGTGTCACCAAACCAGTGTAAGTCATCAACCGTGTTCCTGATTGCTGCCACACCAGCAACAATGCCATCAGTCTAGTGCAGCTAGCAACAATGTTCCTGATTGTTAGCCACACCTGTGCCAGAGTTACCAAAGCCAAACAGCCATCAAAAGTGTCCCTGATCACCACATCAGTCCACTGTCCCCAAAACCAGTGCAGCCGGTAACAGAGTTCTTGATCACTGGCACACTAGTGCAGTGTTACCTCTGCCTGCCACCTGTACTGACCCTGGCCTGTTTATTGACCACGTTTCTGCCTGCTGCCTGAACCAGTCCATTGCCTGTTTGCTGACCACATCTCTTTCTGCAACCTGAACCAACCCATCTGCTTATCCCACTGAGTAAGTTTCTGAGAGACACTAGTCACGGCCATCCCCTGCAGACAACTGCACTCCTGGAAACACAGGAACGGTTTTGTTCTTCCTTTTTTCAGCCATCAGTTCTCCCTGGACAGTGAGCATGGCATTTCTGGGGCAACCAAGTACCAGTAGGTGAGGCTTAAAGAAACGGGGACTGTGGCGAATGTGGTGCCCGACCCCTGCTCTTCTCACTAACTTGTGACAAAGGACTAGCCAATCTTACACTGCACTGTCACATAACAATGACACTCTCAGCTGCACCCTGCACAAAGATTTTCCAGCTCGGGGATCACAATCTGAAGGCCAGCAGCCTGAGAGCGATTGTCACTGGGCTA